GTGGTTGGCGTGCATGGTATCCAGGGTGATCCGGAGTCGAGTTGCGTGTGAACTCTGAGTCGAACGTGTAAGTGAGGGCGCCCAGCGCCATAGCCAACTGAAGTAAACTTGGATTTGAGTTGAGTTGCAAGCTACCATATCTCCGAGTTTGAGTTGGGTGCACAGCGCCAAGTTATTCTCATCTGTTGCATGCATGTTTGAGTGTGAATTTGCAAGACTGATTTCAATGACTTGTTTGCCGCTATTCTGTGGATTGTACCGAGCATTGTCAAGGCCACCTTCTTTTCCCTTTTTCCTTCCTCTTTTTTCTCAAAAGGGTGATGGCCTTTGTAAATCACCATTGAACTGATTGGGCCCAGGTAATTCAGAATGATCTTATTCTGGTCGTTTTGGTTGCATCTGGATTCAAACCAGGAGAGTCAGGTTTGTATTTCAACAGCTCATGGATGTACCAACTGAGCTAGGCCTGGTGTTATCAATATCAAGGCGTTGGCATGTTGAGACTTGTTCGCTTCTGAGCTGCCACAACATCTGGATCGTCCCCGAGAAGAAGTTGTGTTAAGTGACTCACTCAGTATGATGCTCCCTTGGATGCTGATGATGTTGTCTGTATGTTTTATCCTTTCTTGGTGGTTTATCGCAGATTTCGCTGGAGAACAGGGGAATATGGACTCTCGATAGCTTTGAAGCGAAACTGCGTGCTGCGATTGACCCATATCCAAATCGACAGATCAACAATGGCGTGTCGGCTTGATGTGAATGATCTGTGTTGGGATTCTTATTTTTTTCTTTTTCTTTTCAGTATAGGCCGGTGGACTGTGGATCATCAGGTACTAGTTAAACTAGTCAGAACAGATACCAGGTCTATTTTTAGTTACATTGCTGAGAAAGGTACGTGCGTTGTAATTCTCGGTCTCGTGAAGAATTTCTCTTCAAAGTTTTATTTGTAACTAAGTCGAGGCATCAATACATTGCGTGAAAGAACCAGTACATCCAAGTGCAAGGAACATGAGTATGGACGAAGCACAGAAATCCGGAATGCAAAATCACACTGAAGTCCAAGTATTCAAACCGAGTAACCATCCCATTGAGAATGATACAGAAGAATCGTGAGTCAATGTCCATGCCCACCAGGGCAACACCAACAGCATAACCCAAATGTAGCTCTCTCTTGTGAATGGCGCCAGGCGCCCTATCTACTCTACAGCCTATCCTACAACTACAGCAATGAACAGCAACCTGACAACTTGACTACCAGCGAGTGATGATGTCAACACCAATGCAGACCTCCACCATCACCAGGTACGTGTCATCTTCCCCACACTCTCCCTTGTTACCCACACAGYKCCCTTCACCTCYGAAGYACCACCTTCGCCCTCACCTCCCCTGCACCCTCTTGCGGCCCGGCTATGGCCGCCAGTGCTCTGCAAGCAGGCAGCGCCCTACCGCCTAGCRCTGCCCTGCTTCTTCTTAGCGCAGYGCTGCTCTGCATTAGCGCAGCCCACTTGCATCTGCGCAGCGTGCCCGCATATGCCAGCATTGGCCAAGATCCCCGCTGCCTCGCCCTGCTTGCCTATATSCCAGTGCAGTGTGTGGGCGGCCTCCCTTCAGCCTGTGTCCGGGGCCCAGAGGCTGAAGCCAACTCGAYACAGTTGGGCCCCGGGGTAAGGCAGTTGCGCCTCCTTCATCAAGGCCTGCGGCCAGATTCAGACAGTGGGCCGAKTTCYCTTTGGCATTTTCGRCCTCTCTTTCCAGCATGMATTGTCGGCCTCACGTTCAGATGCCCAGGGCCTAACCRACTCAGAGGCCCTGGGCTTTCAGCATTTGCTGAAATCCGAGACTCGGTGCACTCCAACCAACTGGCGTGCTGCWACTGTATGAACCCCRCTTCGTGAAATGTTGCACARAGGGCTCTTGTCGATTTGCTGGCCCGCCTTCACTTAGGGCGGGCACTAGGCTTGCTGGGGCCTTAGCCCAGAACATGTACATCATGGCAAGGCCCCTACTTGAGGGCTCAATCCTCACACAAGTCTCTAT